TTGCTGCTGCTGCTGCTGCTGACTGCGACGCTGCAGCAACGTTTCACTGTCATGAGCAGCAGCAGCAGCAGCAGCAGCTGCTGCTGCTGCTGCTGCCGCTGCTCTGTCCGCTTCTGCTGCTGCTGCTTCTACAGGCACACCTCCCATACGACGCCCGCGCTGCACAGCAGCAACAAAAACAACAAACAAAATATATTGCTGCTGCTGCTGCTGCTGCTGTTGAGCAGCAGCAGCACAAATGCTGCTGCAGCGCTGCTGCAGCAACCCGCAATACCACCACTGCCGCCTTGCAGCAACAGCAACAACAACAGCAACAGCAACAGCAGCAGCAACAGCAGCAACAGCAGCAGCAACAGCAACAACACCAGCAACAGCAGCAGCAGCAGCAACAGCAGCAGCAGCAGCAACTCACCGCATCATATACAGACATCTTCCCTGCCCCCTGTCTGCGCATTGTCTCAGCATAAGCTGCTGCAGCACCACGATCTGTTGCTGCAGCAGCCCCCCAAGTTGCTGCTGCAGCAGCACCGTGCTGCTGCTGCTGCTGCTGCGTCGCTGTAGTTGCTGCTGCTGTCGGTCCCATAATAGGTGGTGGTGGTGCTGCTGCTGTTGCTGCTGCTGCTGCTGCTGCTGCTGCTGCTGCTTCTCCTTGAGCAGCAGCAGCAGCATCTGTTCTCTTCATGCTGCTGAACTGCTGCAGCAGCAGCCGCACGCAGCGGCGCCAGCAGCCGCCAGTTGCTGCACCCAATCACAGCAGCAACCGCAGCAGCAACAGCAGCAACATGTACAACGCAGCAGCAGCAGCAGCACCATACGTAGCAGCAACAACAGCAATAGCAGCAGCATATAAACCAACAACAGCAGCAGCAGCAGCAGCAGCAGCTGCTGCTGCTGCTGCTGCTGCTGCTGCTGCACAGCTCTCCTAAAACCTAAAACCATCAACAGCAGCACAATCAACAACAGCAGCAGCAGCAGCAGCAACAGCAACAGCAGCAACAACAGCAGCAGC